ACTTTAATAGTGGCCTATTAGCATCGTGTTGGCTTGTTGATAGCATTGGGATGTAAGACGGTGGCTTACCTTTCCGCTATCGCTTGGACAGGGCTGCAAAGTCACGGAAGCTGGTGTCGATAATGGGAGCTGTAAAAAAACGTAAGAAAAAAAAATAAAGTAAATAAACGATTTTTCAAGAATGATCATTACCTTAAGCACATCAGGTCATTTCAATTAAAAATGAGGCTGTTATCCAATTACGCTGAATTGGGAGATGACAATGAAATAGAGAAGAAAAATGTACTTCCTGCTAATGGCCATTCAAAGCAATATTATCATTTCATTTATCATAGAAAGTATGTAAGGGTGAAAGAATGTAGAGATTTCAAAATTCCAAGGAGTTTATTATTTAAATTGATAATCGCATTTCGAACAATTCAGATTTACTTATTTTTGTGGCTGATTTCTTCTGTAGTTCCAAATTGAATTGATACTGTTCTAGAAGTCACATTTATGGAATGAAGCTATTCCTTCACCATACTTATGCCAAGCGGCTTTGAATTCCGGAAATGTATGTGAAAGTTCGCACTCAGTGTTTTGAATTTAATTATTAGTTCGAAACAAGATTATTTTCAACTGCAGATAGGATGTCTTTCCTCTTGACATTTGCCTCAAGTTTAACTGGAACTTTCATCTGCCTTATCCATAATGTCTCCTTTAAAGGCTTCCAATCGCATTATCCGAAGTGATTTGCTAGTTTATTTTGGCCTCTCTCCAAATACGTCTCGATTAAAAGATATCCCTGACAATAACAAAAATTTTTATTCCCACTACACATACAATAATCTTTCTCAATCCAACGTACTTTAACATACAATCATTGCAAACACGAAGAGCCCAGGCGAGTCCTTTTCAGTCCTCCCACAATCCCCCCCTCCCTCTTCGAGGAGAAAAGGTTCCAAATAGATTCAAAAAGAACTCCTCCCTCAAAGAATAAATAGATTTAATTTAAACAAGACCCTCCAGTTAAGCTAAGAAACTATAGCAATGAGTATTTAAAATGAATCTGGATTTTCTTAAAAGAAGGCAATAATTCAATTCACGTATTTCGCTCGTGTCAAAAGTGGAATATTTGCCGACGGGTTGTCACTAAAAGATATCAATCCAAACCCCAATGCAACACATTTGGGAAGTGGGTGTACCATCCAAATCCAGTAAACCTGAATATATGCGAAAATAAATGTTCCAATACAATGCAATAACTTTGAAATTGGAAGTTATTATCCGATCATACATGTTCATACAAATTTGTCAATAAATTGAAACATTCTCATCTGAAATTATACGCATTCCTCAAGTTCACCTAGTAAAAACCAAACTTGAACGACTGCATAAATGGCGCAACAGTAGAATGTCATGGCGAGTTTATGGGTAACTTGCTCTTAAAATCTACCCATTTTCAGAGGTACCGAACGCAAACTCAACTGCAGTAAAGCTATTTGGAAATATAAAAAAACAAGCAAAAATGACTAAAGATGCCAGAATAAAGGGGGAGATTGGGGGGGGGGGAATGGTATTTATCGGGAAAGGCAAAAGAGAAAAATGTAGAAAAAATAAAAATATGTACTTTATGCAAAGAATTTCATTTGCAAGTCGAAGCAAATGGTGTTCCTTTTAAAATAAATTATAATTTAATTTTTAAAAAAAAACGGAGAAGTAAAAGTTACTTTCAAATCGTTCACAGTTCACTTTGATAAATTAATTGAAAAAAAACAGTTTTAGAGGTAACTAATATTAATTTGACTTCATTTGTTTTCACTATTAACAAGTGCGTAATCCCGATTCCCACGATAATTATAATCATTAACGATACACTGTGCGAAGATTTCCGCACGAAAAACAATTCCACATATCGCAGTTGAAAAATAAATCAACTTGGCTACCACCTGCCATTCAATAATTAAGTTTCATTTGAAACTATTAGGGGGTTTAACACTAATGGCGCGATAGACATTTGGAAGAAAACAGGGGCAATTTTATGCTCATATCAAGCAAAGGGAATTGAGGAGTTGAAATGAGCCCCCAAACCCATTTAGAGAGGCAGTTCAGGCACACATCTTAAGTGGAATAACATCATAATACCAGCAAAAAAAATCACGAAGTATAATTTAATTAGTATTAAGGAAATATTCTAGATCTCAAGTTAAAAGGGTGTGAAGATTAAGTTTATGCCCGTGATATCAGGTTAAATTAAGAGCTAATTTGTGTAATGGTGATTCATTCTTTCATCTTCCAGCCATAAGCGGGCGATATGCTGTTGACCAGAGCAGAGCTGCCTGCGATACAGTCAAGGTGAACTCAAACCTATATCCACCCTATCACAACTCGCGATACAAATTGATAACTTTATTAATAGTATATTGACTCCATCCATTGATTCAATTTACCTCGATGTGTACATTTTGTCCAAAAATGAAAAATAATATCACTATATTATGTCATCATAAACGGATTTAGGGTTTTCAAAGAATATTACTTTTTTGTGTGGTAATAAATTACCCTAGATACGAAGGTACCATCATTGACAATCGCTCTCAAATATGTGACAATAGGAATTGAGTGCAATTATCGACTGATTTATTAGAAGCCTCTTATTTTTAACTATTACTTTATTAGCCTTATCAACGCAAAATGCATTTAATTTGCCCGAATCTAATTGTGTTTACAAAATCAATAAAAGCCATTTCCTGCTTCACGAATTTACTTGGATTTTTGTCCACTTCATAGGGATACGCGCCAAGATCCAGCATAGGAGATCAAAGAAACGCCTCGCACCAATTGCTACAAAAGTTAAATTTGATGACGATCAAAGTTATCCCACATCGAGGTGCATTTTTAAACTGCGAAAAAAGAAGTTATTACAAAAGTTATAATTTCATCTCTTTGAGCAATACAATACCTGGGCCGATAAATTGGCTGATTAATAAGCCCACTTGTTCATATCAAAGAAAACTATGTATCTGCTTAATCGCTCCACTAGGTAATATAAATTGTCACCTTTCCAATGGGCATTTCTTTTCGAGAGTGCGTGAAAAGGGAGAAGAGGGGAGAGAGGGGGGAGGGGGGCAAAATGAGGCATGTCACAATGAAATAAGCCATCGTAAAGGCATATTCACTATGCTGCATCTGCCCATGAAGCAAAAATTGTGTCCGAAATTCCTCCGCTAACTAGAAACGCGCTGATCCTTGTATTAAGGTTATTAACAAACTCATGTGAATTAATATTTATCGAAGAAAATGTTGAAAAAAATGTATCCAACCAATTTCAAGAATGTGAGCTTGTTGTCAACAAGATCCATAAAATCCACACCTAAAAATATAAGACATTAAACCTATGCGGTTGTATATGTCCAATCGGTAAAACGAACTTCCACTTAACTATGCTATAAATTACAAAAGAATACACAATGTCATTGGTTAGTATTATGGATAAAAAAGGTTCATTTCAATCCCTGGGTTAAAAAAGCAAAACCCTCAAATGAAAAGATTTACATGGAATCAGTTTTGCCATTTAGATCTGATTACACGCTAAAAATTTTGGAAAGCAGATATAGTTTTTTTTGTGTTCTGACATTCTTGATGAGCCCACTATCATTTAAACAGCATCAAACTTTCTTTCAATAGCATAAGTTTGTATTTACTTATTAACCATTTCACAACTGAGCATACCAAGAAAGAAATTAAGCGAGTGTAGATAAGATGGCCAGAGGGCGAATGATTGAACCCTATCCATGCATTTTCACACTCACTACAAACTCGAAATAAAAAATATAATTGTCATAGGATGGGAGCGTTGGAATAACCATTAAGTAGAGTAGCAACTACCCACCCTTGAAAGATGGATTTCAAACAGCACTTCTTCAAAAGAAGGTCACGCAAGGGGCGCAAAAAGAAAGGTAATTATGGAGCCGATCAAATTAATTACTTGCTAATTATAATTAACAATAAATGGGGATAATATATTTTCAAATTGGTATTTTAAGAAGTCCTTAATCTCCACTTGGACTATATGAGAAAGAAGATTAATCCGAATTTTAACGATTGACTGTTAGTTATTCGTCTTAGCTCAAAAACCCAGATATTATTCTCTAAAGCATATTTTCTAACAAATCTTTGAGTAAAGGCATATGTTGAAAAATTTTAAAATTTTAAGAAATAGACTTCCAATCTTTACATTTTATCAAATACCTAATTGTCCCCAACAAGTTAAAAGGGAAATATTACCAGGCCCCCTCCTCACACCCCAAACCCACAACCTCCCCTCTCATAATTTATCTATTGACGGTTAAAAGCCCAAAGAAAGCAGCATCCTTTTTCACTGTGTATGCAATGCTTCAGAAAAGTGGCTGATTGATTTAAAATACAAGAGAAATAAAAAAGAACACAAATGAGCAATATAACGACATTCTTTAATTAACTAGATTTACAGAAAACGGAGTAAATTAAATTGAAGTAGAAAAGTTCACGGAACGAGTTAATGATGTTCTGGAAGAAAAATTCCATTTAGAGCTTTCATGAAGAATTATTTGAAAAATTAGGACAAACATGCAAAAGTATGATCGAAATAAACCAACCGAATGAATGAGGCAACTAAATAAAAAGTAAAGTTTTAATATCAAACACCCTCATAAAAAATTATAGAGAACCTAATATCCGAAAATATATCAACAATGTAGGTAATATCACAAAACGATTAAAATAAAAATCTCTGTTCTGTTTTGGTTTACAATTATTTTTCTTGCAAAAAAAAGAATAAACAAGGAGGATCTATGGTGGCAGAAAGGTATACTTATGGGATGAAAATATAACCAATAAATTTAATTATATTAAAGGACAATCATATTAAAAATACATTTCAAAACACAATAACATTGGTGTGAAATATTATCTACTCAAAATCGTTTTCATGCAAAGCATTTTAAGTCCAAAACTACAAAAAAGAATATTTGAAATGTAATCTAATAAATAAACCAAAGGCAACTGACCTCAAAGTAAAAAGGATAAGCACTTGATCCAAGCTTCTTGATGAGACGTTCTTGAAGACGAGTGAGTGGTTTAACGTCAACTTGAGGGTCATTGACATTCACAATGGAGCCTTCATCTTCGTAGTTCGAACTTCTTCGGCGTCTATTTCCACTATCATAAGATGCAACAGCAACTATAGGGATTGGATTAGTGGGAAGATCACCAAGAAAAGGCTGTTGTGGAGGATAGATTTGTGCCGAAGCTACAAAGAGATCTTTCCTGAATGACAAACCCAGGACATCAAGATCCTCCCTCCCATAACGAAATGCAGCCAAAACATGAACAAAAACGCGCCGATTTCTTACATAAGACTCATCAATCAAAACAACACCCTCTGTATAAAATGAAAATTAGAGTAAGGAATAAAGTTACCAATTGGATCGACGTGTGTTAAGTGGTCTAAGAAATCCCGTTTGGATAAATAGGCCGTAATCTAAAACAGTTATAACAAGAATAGAAACAATACTTTTCCATTTGGACTACTTTTCTTGAATACTCTCGTACCATGCCTTTTAGAAAAATCAGCGTCGGGATCAGCCATTTAACAATTTAAGGCATAAGAAGATAGCAGCTGTAAGGGGCAAATTAGAAAAGCCTCAAGGTTAGGTAATTTGTGAAAGCAAAATTCAATAAACGAAAAATTAAAAAACGCTGTAAGAAAAGACAAAAATTTCATATGACTTTTGTATATTTTTTAATGTTAAAGTCTAGTTAAATTTTCAAAAATGTAAAAATGTTATTTAATAATTTATTTTAGATTTTAATTAAATATATTATTACAAGAAATAAAAATATCTATCAAATGAGATTTTAATTTTTACTTATTCTGCTCTTGTTAAAAATGGCGATATGTTTTACACCACTTTTACTTTGTAGAAGTTTGAGCGTTGTAATGTTCTATCATGTATTTTTCATTTACTTTAAGTTCATTTTCTTAGATTCAATTAGAGCGTGAAATTCTACTTCATCCAAAATATTTTGGTCCAAATTTAATCCAAACTGTCAAAGCAAAGCTCTTTTCAGATATTGAAGGCACTTGCACTGGAAACCATGGGTTTATTGTGGCTGTTACAAATATCGAGCACATTGGCGCCGGAAAATTGCTTCCCAATAGAGGATTTGTTCAGTACCCTATTGTTTATCGAGCGGTTGTTTTTCGTCCCTTCAAAGGTGAAGTCATTGATGCTGTCGTAACACAAGTCAATAAAGTTGGCGTCATTGCCGAAGCTGGCCCTCTCAACATATTCATTTCCAAATATGTAGGTGTGCTTCTTATTTTGACCGCTTTCTAATGGTCTACTTAACTTATTCTATCTTTTAGTCTATCCCAAATAATGTGAAATTTGAAGGAGCCGAACCCAATGAAAATTCAAATGAAGATGAGGGTGAAGAAGACGAGGTAAGTCCCTCAATCGTTTCTCGTTGTTGATTTTGTGATATATTAATTTGTTATGTTTTCTATAACCTTCATTCAGACGCAAGTAATTCAATTAGAGGATCGTATTCGTGTTAGAATTATCGGTCTTCGTGTGGACTCTAGCGCAATCGTAAGTACCCATAACTTTTCACTCTTGATTGTAATTACTTTAACTGAATTTATGCGGATTATAGTTTGCTGTTGGAACACTCATGGATGATTATCTAGGCCCTACTGTGTAAAACGCTATGATGATTCCTGTTTGTATATATCTATTTTTTCAAATAATAGTATTTATTAAATCATTGAATTTCTTTTTCATTAAGTTTGGGGTGAATCTTATAATTAGCCATTACTTTCGAAATAAGTGCCAAATCACTATCACTTATAGTTATTCATTTCCGTAAACGTAGTTTTGCTTATTTGCTGGCTATTGGAAATATACTCAGCTGACTCTCCCTCATATTAAAGTTTGATTAGATTACTAATTGAGTTTTGCTTTATTACGTAGAGAGTGTCTATTAAGGCACTTTAGTTGCTAGAAATTGGTAAAGATGGAAAACCTGCTCTTGGTATTCAGCGCTTTCGTAACTAATGGTTAAGGAACTCGTAGAGCAGCAAAGTAAATTCTTCATGACCCAATCGTCAAGTCTTGGGGTGCAGAAAATTCAATTTTGGGAAGCAAGCCTCGAATTAACAATTACATGTTTTTATGTTCAGCGCTGGATACTGGTCTTCTCTATAAGCGTTTCTGGTATAAAGTGAATTGACACAATTGAGAATTTAAACGTCTTTCAAAACAAATCCGACACGATTTTACCTAAGAACTACGTGGGAGATTTGTCCAACCTACCTCATTTCTAGTTTACCTTTGATATATTTTACACTATTTCTCTTTCCTGAACTGCTGTTAAAAACGTTCCAAGCTCATTGAGATGATTGGTAGCAGCACTTGACAAGGGCAATTTGCCCAAAGTTTATCCTCTCAGTTCTCGCATCACTCCGACAGACGTGAACCTGAAACTTAGTTGGACATGCAAACTAACCAATACCTAACGATATATAGTGTTAGGATAAACTGTTTGTAACGGAAGACTATCGGTAACCCCTATTAAGTCGTCTAACTAACTGTTCATACATCTCTGATTTGGCACGAAGCAAAGCCCGATAACACGCGTAGAAAAAAGAACTTAGTTTACTTTGACATATGTTGTAATCGAAATCTAGAAATTGGATGATTGGAGGATTTAGGGACGGGTGTGTTAGGTGTACCATTAGAAGGGAATTCAGCAGATGATGATGTAGACACAGTTGAAACATTTCTCTCAATAACCTGAGCGAAAGGATTGTTAAACGGGGCAGATGCTTGGGGAATACCTTTTTCATTATCTCCAAAAGGTTCGATATGTACAGGCTTTGGTTCAATAGGACTGACCTCTTCCTTATTCTTGAGGATACCTTTAGTTTCCAAGTTCTTCCTCTTCACAAAAGCAACAACATCAGCTGGTGAAGCTTTACTCAAGTCAGAGATAGTAGGATTCAATGGCCTCGATGGATTGTGCGAATAGTGGATTTCAATATCAGGGAGACAGGAAGCATCAGACGAATCGTTTTCCGCTTCCTCTTCATCGTCATTGAATCTAACACGACAAAACGATATTCTCGATTCCTTACGCTCTCTAGCTAGCTCCTTTTGAACGCTCTTTTTGTGCTTCCTAAGCCATTCTTTATCCTTCTCGAGATCATAGTCTTCCCTAATTTCGAACTCCCCTTCACCATTCTCCTCTGCTCCCAATACGCTTTGAGGTTCTTCCCCTTTGACTAGTCTCTGAGTAAAGCCCTCACGGTCGGTTAGGAGCTTCCGTTGTTCTTTGAGTTTCTTGATAGATTCTTGAATGCGCCCAAGTCTCTTATCGATTATTTTGAAAGCTTGGTAGGTTGAGACCTCACAGAAGTGTTCGGAGTGACCACCGAGGTAGACTAGCACTTCATTAGTATGTACAAAATGGCCGGGGATTAAAGCCTTAGGGGAAAGTGGAATGAGAGCTTCTTTAGAAAAGCACTTGGACATTCCCTCAAGTCGGCCCCGCAGATCCTCATATTCGGTAACGAATTTGAGGAGACGGTCGATCTTTTCATCGGTTTGAGTAATTGCCTTCCGTTGCTCTACAAGAAGTCTGTCAAATCGTTCCATATCTACAGTGAAAAAATCTATATCAGTCCGTAGCTATTTACCAGGAAAGTAATTTAAGGGTTTAATAGCTTACGAATTATGGACAGGATATTTGGAGCGGTTAACTTACTCACTATAAAGATATTCACTACAAACATGGTCAAATAAGACAAAGAGCTTATTATTAGTAGCATAGTTGTAGCAGCCAAGATCGCAACAAGCTTAAGTGTGCCACGAGAAAGGAAATAACTACTAAAGACCAGTGAATATATAGAAGGACTGAGAATAAATTTGAGATTGGAAGTGCAATTACGGTAATGATGCATGGCTCATGCAATGGCGAACATTAACATAATGCAGTAACAGAAAAGACACTGGAGAAAACTTAAGAGAATATCAATTTATGCTCAATAAAACCACGAGTTTCTGGAGTATATTTTTAAAATTAATGTAAAGGTTGAACAGGACAAAAGTACATATAACAAACGTATGAATACCCCGTAAAACCTTTTAAAAATACGAAGCATTTTGAAGGTAACTTTAAATAATCTAGGATTCACCATTAAGCCTAATAAAATAAATACCATACAATAGCAAAGGTACATAATGGAATTATAAAAACTGTGTGAAGAAAAAAAGAAAACAAATAAAAGTAAATAAGCAATGCAAAGAAGATGATTAGCAAAGAATAAGAAAAAATCAAATCCTAACAAAATAAACAAAATCCAAGTTTTATTTGAAAACACATAATAAATTGGTAGTAGGACGTAAGTATCCACCTGAAGTAAGAACGTACACCTTTGAAATAAGTATTTACTACGAAATACATAAAAGTGCTTTTTCCTGAAATGATGCGATACAATCCCATTGTAAATCAGGACTCGATATTTAAAGCTTCATACTATGACAAAATAGTTACTGGAGAAAGGTACAGAGTATTAAAAACAGAAACCGTATACAGAGCGCGAAGCATTAGCAATTTACATAAGAACAAAAATGCCTCAACTTCTTAAATCACAAGTCGAAAATGTACAAAGACTCAATAACAGACTAACAGACAATATGTAAAAAACTTAGATTTCAATAACCCAACACGTACCCTAGAGCATGTTTTAGTAACAAGGCTCAGATAAACAGCAGCCACAAAATTTAATCGACCTTAAAATTCAGATGTATATAGATCATTCAACTAAGTACTTCGATATTTATTATAGGATTAAATGAAACAACTAATATTGTCAATGAATTTAATAATCTATTCGTTTTCTTTTAATTTTTTGACATCCATTTATAATAAAATTACTGATATTTACACTGTTGGTAAATTTAGAGAAAGTGACTTGAGATGATTTTCACTATTAATAGCACTCTTACAGATATTTTAGCCAATTACCCTTCCTTCTCTGTTGAAAATCTAAGCTTCTTGAGACAACATGAAGGGGTGTGCGATAGACTTACCTCGACGTGGTGCACCCTGGGCAACGTATACACATACGGCAAAAAAGTCCATAAACCGGCAGTTGACTTCTCACTTCAAACTACCATCACCCCACTGTATGTCATATTCGACTATTTTCACAGTACTCACCTCACCTTTGTTCTACCTTTGTGTTTCTCTTACATCTTTGTAACACTCTTCCGTTCCCCCCCCCCTCTCGATTTTTTTCAATTTAATATTCCTTCCCTTTGTGAAGCCTGAAGTCAACTAAAGGGCTAATGATAACTATCAAAACGCCTGCCATTTGATATAAATAAATAGATAACATGATTAACTTTATTACAATTTATTAACCGTAACACCTTATTCACATCTCCTCCAAGGTTGGTCGAAAGAATTTCTTGAGCGGTAAAGCCGACAGGATGATACCACCGTGCCATTGAGCGTGATTTGAACAAACACAGACACAACTGCAGTGTACCTGTACTTTTATGAAAATATTGGTCTCCTCTATTACACGTTAATCTACTCTATTTAGCCGTCTGTAGCTAAATCTTCTTTTAGTAACAATTTTGTGATTAACAGAAAGGTGAACTCACTTGGTTCTCTGTCAGAAATTTCAATCTGCTAGA